AGCATCCCTCCATTCTTTCTTTCCTAATGCCTCAGAAACAGAGTTGGGTATGGGAATTTCATTAAGTCTCTGAACAAACAAGGCATGTGAAGGAGAGAAGTTATCAATGGTATCAAAGGTATAGAGGTGTTTTGGTACATTGACGTACACCCTTGCGTAAAGCAATTGGCGGAGATGGTGGTGGAGAGGAAGAGACATTACCTTGGTCAGCCAATTGGTCATGCGTCAACAATGGAGTGAACCTGTTTTTCCTTGAGTACACTTTTGTCACTGGTAGAGGAGAAGATGGGTCATGAGTGGTGGATTTAGTAGGTGTAGGAATGGGATGGTCTGGTGGTGTATTTGATTGAGGTTCAGGTGATGTTGAAGACTGTTGGGAAGTAGGTGAGGTTGCTGACACATCTAAGGAAGGTGATGGATGATCATGTGGTGGTGGTGGTGATGGGATGTCTGGTGATAAAGGCTTAGGAGGGTAGGAGATTGTATGTGGTGGAGAAGATGTAATAGTATAGGTGGGCAGAGGTGAAGGATGTGGAGTATCTTGGGATACAGGGAGAGAAGTAGGAGTGTAAAAAGGTGTGTCTTCGTGAAAGGTCACATCTGCACTGGTGTATGTCTTTCTGGTTGTAGGATTATAGCACTTATATCCTTTCTGAGTTGGAGAATAATCAAGAAAGATACACTTAATAGATCGTGGGTCCAATTTTCCCCTATGAGGTGGAGGAATATGAACAAATGCAGTACACCCAAACACCCTTAGATCAAGATCAGAAGAAATTCTGGTTTGAGGAAAGAAGTGACGGAGAGATTCAAGGGGTGACTTATTTTGGAGTACCCGACTGGGAATTTTATTGATGAGATGACATGCTGTGAGTGTGGCTTCCCCTCAATAGTGTTTAGGCATATTTGATTGAAACAATAAAGCCCGACTGAAGTCTAGGAGATGGCGATTTTTTCTTTCTGCTGTGCCATTCTGTTGTGGTGTGTACGGACAAGAGGACTCATGAACAATGCCTTTTGAGAGGAAATAAGAGGAAACAGTTTGATTGAAGTATTCAAGAGCATTATCAGTGCGGAAGTGTTTTATTGTGGCGGAGAACTGATTATGAATCATATTGCAAAAGATAGGAATGATGGAACTCACCTCACTCTTGTTTTTTAGCAGAAAAACCCACATAAAACGTGTACAATCATCAATAAATGTAACATACCACCGGGCACCAGATATATTAGCAATTGGAGCAGGACCCCACACATCACTGTGTATAATATCAAAAGGAGAACAACTGATTGTATTACTTCTAGAAAAAGATACACGAGACTGTTTAGCAAGTTCACAGACATCACATTGAAATGTAGAAACATCAATACTATTAAAAAGACTAGGAAACATGGTTTTTAGGACATGAAAAGAGGGATGACCAAGACGCTTGTGGTGAAGCCAAATAGTGTTGGTATTGGCTGTGATTGTGGTAAGAGCTTTTTGTGGAGGTTTGGAGACAAACAGTGCATCAAGGTAGTACAGGCCATCTCTTTGTTTAGCAATTCCAATCGTCCTCCCTGTGTGTAGATCCTGTAATAAACAGTGGGAAGGGAAAAAAATGGCAGCACAATTAAGATCAAATGTGAGTTTGTAAATAGAAACAAGGTTCATAGCCAGGTTTGGGACATGTAGGATGTTTTTCAGATTTAATTTTTCAGAAAAAACAATCGTACCAAGTCCCGCAACCTTTGTAGGTGTCCCATCAGCAGTAGTAATGTGTGTGGATGTAAAACATGGATGATAATTAGAGAGTAAAGAGGGTATAGCAGTCATATGAGATGTGGCACCTGAGTCTAATATCCATTGGGATTGTGAACTCTGTTCCGAAGCATTAAGACAAAAAATAGTAGAGGTTTTACCTTGCAGGGCCAAAGAGCTATGACCAGAACCATTTGAGTTATTAAGAGACTGTAACATCATACGAATTTGCTTTAATTCCTCCTGGGAAATGGGCCAAAGATTAGTAGAGCTCTCAACAATAGTGGGAGTGACTGAGTTGGCACGTCCAGCACTAGTTCCACGTCTGTCTTGGCTTTTTCTTTCTTTCTGTAGATGAGGATAAAGTTTCCAGCATGTATCCACATTATGGTTGGACCGCTTGCAATGATCACACCATCTTCCTCCCTTACTACCCTTAGTTTCCTTAACATCTGAAGGAGTAGATTTGGCAGCAAGAGCTGTACTGTCAATCAGATTTGTATTCATCATTATATTGCGTCTGCTCTCTTCATGTTTGATAGTGGCAATGACAGAAGATATGGAAGGCAGAGGAGTAATGCCAAGAATTGACCCCGAGTCGGATCATATTCGGGATTTAAACCAGACAAGAAGCAATATAGACGTTGCTGATTTATATAGTTCTTGTGAAGAGCAGCATTTGCAGCATTCGACCACTTCATCGTTTGATACTGGTCAAGTTCAGACCATCGTCGTTGGAGGTCAGTTGCATAATCTGTTACAGATTGTGAATCTTGCTTAAGATTCGTTGTTTTGAGCCATAAGTCATAGACAAAAGCGCCATCTTTAGCAACAGAGTAGGACTGCTGTATGAAATCCCAGATTTCTTTAGCCGAGTCCATGTATAAACATGTACTGCTAATGTTGGGATCCATAGAGTCCCATAACCAGACCCGTATGTTGGCATTAGTTTTCTCCCAAATAGCAGCATCAATCTCTCCTTCTTCTGGGGTAGAGACAGTGAGATAGTTTTCAAGATCTTTGCCACGTAGAAGAGTGTAAACCAGCTTTGACCACCCAAGATAGTTCCTGCCATTGAGACGGTAAGATGGTGGGATAGAAAGGAGATCAAATTTCTGGTTTCGAAGAGCAAACGCGGCTGCAGTAGCAGCTGAAACAATGGTTGAGTGATCAAGGTTACTTGAGGCTGATTCGGCTTCTTTAGACATGATAAAACCCTTGATGAAGAGACTCCACCGAGAGTTAAAGAGAGAGAAGGGTAGAGACACCCAAAAAATGACCGTTGGAGAGGTGATAGACTCAAAAAAGGCTTAGACGAAACCAAGCTTTGATACCATGAAGTTTTCTGAATATTATTTCCTTGAATTCATTTACAAGAAGTACATAAGCTATTTATACAGATAGGAATCCTGAGAGAGTCTATTCAGCACCCTAGGTGACTGACTGTAAATACTAAACATAAATGATTGAGAACTGAAAAGACAGCAGCTATTAAATATAACCTGAAGCACTAAAGACACATAATTACAGTAATAATAAGGAAAATAAATCCTAGATTAATGATGTCTCTTCGTTTTATCAACACGGTTTACTCTACTAAGAGACAAGCTCAGGATTCTTGGGAGTGACAGAATACCTGGCTTGCTATTACAATATCAGTTTTAACCGTTACATATCCTTGTAATTAGTATCATAATTATTACATAGGCTCCCAATGATTGTATAAATACCAATGTATGCCTGAGAATAAAGTATGCAATTCAGTTTGCAATTCTCTCTTCTTCTAAACTCTATTAACCTATATATGGAGTATATTCCCATATACCCCAAGGGTACCAGAATCGCCGACATAAGCATCACGGATCTATCCCGGAATGCATATAACTACTAAGTCCACTACTAGGGACCGACCCCGACCCCGACCAGCCATGGTCGGGAACATGCGCCAGGCAGCAGATTGACTAAGGACAAAGAGTCAGCCGACCCCGACCCCGACCTCTGAGGTCGGGAAAAACACCAAGCTCAGGAATCAACCAAACTCGATAAGTTGGGAGCCCGACCTCGAACGCCCCGAGCTAGACACCAAATCTGACCTCAGGCGTCAAACACGCAGTCAACCAGAGTCAAGCATGAGGCAGTCAATGATCTCTTAAACAAAACTAAAGACATGAGGTGAATTTCCCAATACTGACCCAGTAAACTCAAGGTCTGGTCAAAGCACTATGAACTTAGACAAATACGTGAAGACAGACACCACAGAAAGATGCTGCCACGTCACCCCTAGCAGTGGGCGATATTCCAAATTGCACACGCATAACCACACAAGCAATCAGTTAGAGACGGTTCCAATCAGCCATCATGTCCAAGATTATCTCTCCAATCACCTTTACACGTGGCTACTCCCCATCAATTTAGTCTGTTAGTTTGTTAGAATAGATTGGACACGTGTCCCCTCCCTATTAGTTTAACATCTTTTTACTTGGGCACCAAGTATTGCCTTTTTTCATTATAAATATCATCTTCCAGCTTGTGTAAAGAGATCGCATTTTGAACTCTCATATTGTTACTCTGCCGGATTATCTACCTGTACTTTCCGATCAGTTCTCTCTCATTTTTCTTGGATTCCGACCACCCCGGTCCGGTGATCCATTAAATGTCAACTAAACTATTATTTGTGTAAAAGATATGGAAAGATAATATGGGGACAGACGAAAAAGAAAAGTTGGACCATAATTTGGGGACCATAATATGTTTTGTTATAAGTGGGTTTCCTGATACTTGATCCTCATGGTTGTCCTCATGTGCTTCTATGCTTATAGAGAGTTGCCCAAAATGGGCACTACTTATTTTTTGGGATATCTCCTCCAAATCACTAGTATGGCTATCAAAATTGTGGTACTATCAAGATCTTTAGCTAGTGTTCTTGAGAAATGTCCTCATGATTTTGATAGCCATACTAGTGATTTGGAGGAGATATCCCGAAAATATTAAGTGCCCATTTTGGACAACTCTCTATAATCTTTCTTTGGCTTAGTGTTACATATTTTCACAGTGCTCGTTTTTCGAACTTTGAAGCGTGGCTAAGACAAAGAAAGATGATAGGTTTACGCTTTACCAAATGACATAATAGGTTGAGTGTTAACCCAAAATATCTCAAAAGCTCATTGATATTGATTTGGATCAAATGTGTGTGTGCTTTTGCGCCTATGGTCTCATTGTATGCAGTTATGCAATATATTTCATGAGTTCACATTGGCAGGTATACACTAAATATATGGGATGTTGGGGGACAGAAAACCATAAGATCGTATTGGAGGAACTACTTTGAACAAACTGATGGCTTGGTGTGGGTTGTGGATAGCTCTGATCTTAGAAGGTTAGATGACTGCAGATATGAATTGCATAATCTTTTGAAAGAAGAGGTACATTTGGAGCTTTTAACCTGCCACCCCCCCTCCCCATTTCACACACACACACACACACACAAGTCATTGCATTCAGCTTATCCCAATTTTGTTTTTTGTTTTGTTTTTCTTTTTTAATGTAAAGAGAAGTATTATTGTAACAAACCCAAAGAAAATACCTTACAATAAGTCACAACCTGCTAAGCTTATGTAGTTTAATAAGCCTTCTAAGATTAGCATCTGTACAAGGATTAACAATCTCAAACAATCTGGAAGGGCAACATCCTTGTCTAAAAACAATTTAAACTGCAATTCAATCCACTTCACTGAGCTTCTTCAGAATAATCATAGCGGGGGTGCTTGTCTATGAACAATTCTTTATTGGGAGAAAAATGTAATGGCTTCAAAGTAGTCAGATTACACAAGGATCTTCCCAAACCCTTAACTTTATAGACATGCTCAGCCCATCCACATGGCATTCCTGAGGATACTAACAGATAAACATAGTGATAAGGGCTATAGAACCTTTCCTTTTAAGAATCCAGTGTGTCACAGCATGAATCATCCAATGATACTCCTTTTATTTATATAGACTAAAATGTGCAAAAACCGTAAAAACCTAATCATATTTTGTTATCCTTTGCATTTCCCGAGGTACAACAGATCATAAAAAAATAAATAATTACCCTTACTTTTTTGCCTGTCCTTGTTTTGACATGTCACTAGGTAAACGTGACTGCATTCATATATGTACAAAAAGAGTCTCACAAGGTAATAATTTGTAAAGCTATACATGTCACTAGCATGGTTTTAAATTGTGGTTGCGGTCACTGTCACTGGGCTTACGGCTAATGCAGCCGCTGCGATGCGTATTGCGGCCGCTGCGGCGTGAAATATTTTTAAGTTCACGCAAAATGGTAATAGAATGATTTTTTTGCATTCTTTTTTTTAACAAATACATAGATGTTAATTAAATATTAAGTAGTTAAGTTTATCATTAGCATTGAAAATAGGGTATGATGTTTTTTTTACATTCTTTAACAAATGGGAAGTATATAGTAGTTAAGTTTATTGTACAAAGTAGGGTACACAAATACTCCGTATATGAAGATCGGGTAAATAAGAAGTACTAGATGATCATTAGTATTAATTATATTTAAGTAGTTAAACTTTGTTTATAAATAACCTTTGTAGATAAAATGACTAAATAATTAAATATCTAAAATAAGTAAAATAAATGAAACAATAAATTAAAATACCTAAACAACTAAGCAAATCATTACTAAATTACAAAGCTACACATGCTAATTCAACGGAGTAGACTATGAGAAGTGAAAATGGTATTACGGAGCAGCTTTGGGAAAAGACCAGCTCATCTTTTCATCTTTCCAAACTTCCCCGGCGGCATTTAAGGTAAAACAGAGCAGAAGAAGATTGGTCTCCGCAGCAGCATGCGGTCCTGTTCAGGCCGGATGCAGCGCCGTTGCGGATACGTTGCGGAATTCCTCGGTGATGTGGAAACACAGCGGTATAGCGGACCAATGCGGTTGTGGGCGGCGGGGCAACCACAATATTGCAACCGCAACAGGCATAGTGGACCGCAATTTAAAACCTTGGTCACTAGTGGCACTGCCACCGCCAACACCTGTCATTGTAACTGCAGTGAGGAAATTCCATCTTTTTAAAAAAGCTTTCAGGATAATATTCCGGTGGTGGTCGCCAGTGGCGGATTGCCGCGACTTTTCTAAAAAAATGTGATTTTTTCCCGGGCAGCTGCGGCAGTTAGGTAGATGCTGATTGAGAAGAAATTTGAATAGATTTAACTCTATAAATGTAGATAGCCATATTTATGTCATTCTTTCTTATTTTTTAATTTTTTTTTCTTACGACAAAATAATGACATTTTCAGTTACATCATATATTTGTATATGGTTGTCATCTTCATTTTGTTTCCAACCATCCAGATGTGAGAACAAATTTAAAAAGTGGATACCACCCTCCCCCTTCCCTCCCATCTAGAATTCCCCAACAATAGAATGGTCAACTGAGTAAACCAAATTATTTATCATGCCCAAGCTTCTCTTATCATAGAATATCACATGATTTTCTTGCTTCAATATTGCTTTTGATTTGTTCTAATTTTTATGGCAATTGGCAGAGGCTATCAGGAGCGTCATTATTGATTTTTGCAAATAAACAGGATATACAAGGTGCTTTTTCTCCAGACGAAATAGCTAAAGTAAGATGCTGCATGATCTGTTCTTTTCTATTCACCAATGTAAAATTTTTATCATGTGTGATGAGAACCCCGGTACTTAAGAATTAATTCCACTCGGGATTTTTCTAAAGTATATGTCAGGAGGGGCAGGAAAGTAAATGAATAAAAGCAGTTAGTGGCAAGCATAACCAACAGGCTGAGGTGGCAATGTCAGAGAGGGAGGGGCATAAAATTACCGTGATGAGCAAGGGCAGCTTCGAGTGCGAGACTACTCGAAGTGTCTCTTCTATCTCTCTGCCCTGCAATTTTCTTCCATTTTTGTCTTCTTAGTCTTCTATATTTCTTCCCGACATGGTAATTGTTACTTATTGATATATATATATATATATATATATATATATAAACACACACACACACACTGTTTCCTGGGTGGCGTGGGTACTAGTGTCTATCAACTGGTATCAGAGCACCGATCGTGGAACCTGTGCATGGTTGTGACACGATCGATCATGGAGCATAGGATGGATAACATGGAATGATCGTTCATGGATTTTCTATCCGAGATGGATATGAACATGAGAACCATGATGGATGCAATCGCGAACGTCACCAGTCAAAACGAGCAGAAGAAAATGAGGGGAAGATCGAGGACATCTCGTCGCCAACCTCCACTGGATAGCAAAGACTTCCCGATCCAGAGGTACATCTAATGAATCCCGATCCGTCTCTTTTCCCTGTTTGGAGTTGATGATGCGTATGGTTGGGTGGTCAAGGTAGAGAGATATTTTAAATTGAATCAAGTACCGGAGGAGGATAAAGTGGAAATAGTGTTGATCGCGATGACGGATAAGGCGTTAAACTGGTATGAGTGGTGGGACGAAAACACCGCTGATCATTCCTGGGAAGATTTCAAGAAGGCCCTATTCCATCGATTTCAACCGGATCTGGTCCAAAATCCTTTTGGCCCAATGCTCAGCATTAAACAGACATGGTCCATTATGGAATACATAATACAGGGAACTGTTTGAGTTGGTGGTAGCACCCCTAAGAAACACTGATCCAGAAATATTAAAAGGGGTGTTTCTGAATGGGCTAAACGAAGAGGTTGTTAGGGTTAGATCTCACACAAGCACGAATCTGAAAGACTAGAAAAAGAACGAGAAGAACGGCACACGGATATAACGTGGTTCAGCCAGTAAGTGTTACTGACCTAATCCACGGAGGCAACTAGGGTTTTCTTTCTTATTGAGATGATGAATGATACAAGTCATAGTTTACAAGTACAGGAGTCAATATATATAGGCAAACAATTAGGTTAAAACTCTTAATAAGGTTCTCAGCCCGACTGCCACTAAAGAAACAGGCCCAACTAAGGCTGCCTGCACATTTAACTAGAGCAGGCTCTGCTCTTTGTTTATTTGGCTCCCAGTTCTGAATGGGCTGAGGCCTACAGCCCAACAATCTCCCACTTGGAGGCTTCGAAACACGATCAACTGCACTCCAATCCTCTGTACTTCTGTAAACTTCATCTGTGTTTAGCTCCTCCTAGTTGCCACCTGCCTTCTCAACATTATTCTTGAAGGCCAGCTGAAGTTACACAGAACTTCAGCTTGTCCAGCGTCACAGATTTAGTGAACATATCTGCTGGATTCTTTGCACCTGAGATGTTCTTCAAGTTTATCGTTCCTCCACTGATCAACTCTCTTACAAAGTGATATCTCATCCCAATGTGCTTTGTTTTCCCATGATAGATTGGATTCTTGGCAAGTTTCACTGCACTCTCATTATCACAGTGTAAGTGTGTAACGAGTAATCTGCTTGCTTTTTGTCTAACTCGTCAAGGAAGTTCCTCAACCAAATCAGCTCTTTACTGGCTTCAGCAACTGCCATGTACTCTGCTTCGGTTGTTGAAAGAGCTACACTTTTCTGAAGTTTGGACATCCAACTAACTGCAGTTCCTCCCACTGTGAAAATGTACCCCGTTGTGCTTTTAAATGTCTCTTTGCATCCACCCAAATCAGCATCAGAATACCCTCTCAAAATCACGTCTTTTCCTCTGAAACATAACCCCATCTTTGTAGTACCCTTCAAATACCTAAGTATCCATTTAACTGCTTCCCAATGTTCCCTCCCCGGTTTTGACATGAAGCGGCTAACAACCCCGACTGCATGAGCAATATCTGGTCTCGTGCACACCATAGCATACATGAGGCTACCAACTGCAGATGCAAAAGGAGCTTTAGCCATTTCTGCTTTATCTTCGTCTGTTCTCGGAGACTGGTCTTTGGTAAGCTTGAAGTGACTTCCCAAAGGCGTGTTTCTTGGTTTAGTCTTCTCACCATTCATTTTGAATTTCTCCAACACTTTCCCAATGTACTTTTCCTGGGATAGTGTTAAAGATCCATTCTCCTTGTTTCTGACTATGCTCATCCCTAGAATATGTTTGGTTGGACCCAAATCTTTCATTTCAAATTCGTGAGACATTTGTTTCTTTAACGTGCTGATCTCTTTCATATCTGCACCAGCTATCAACATATCATCTACATAGAGAAGCAGAATGATATATGAACTCTTGAACCTCTTCACATAACAACAATGGTCCATCTAACATCTTCTGTAACCTGTCCTTATCATGAAGTTATCAAAATTCAGATACCATTGCCTCGGTGCTTGTTTTAGACCATATAAGCTCCGTTTTAGTTTGCAGACCAGATTTTCTTTTCCAACAACCTGATATCCTTCTGACTGTGCAATGTATATATTCTTATCAAGATCGCCATGTAGAAATGCTGTTTTAACTTTCTATTTGCTGGAACTTGGGGGAACAGATTTGGTACTTTGCGTAGAATGGTTGGCAAGCCTGGGAGAGATAAGGGTGAATTTCAGTGATCTATTCATCAGTTGGAGAGAAGCTGGACAGGAGAAGAGTATAAAAGGGGGTGTGGAATTGAACCAAACAAGAGTCTCTTTCAAAACAATCAAGAAATCTTTACAGGACCAGGAGGAGGTGTACTACATTTATTGCAGGAAGTTAGAAAAGGTAAATGATGGAGAAGAAATTGGGAAGGAGTGGGAGGACTTGTTAGCAGAATTTCCCAAAGTCTATATGACACCCACAAGTTAACCTCCCAGTAGAGCCTGTGACCATGCTATCAACATCCAGGAAGGTGCCCCCATTCCGAATGCAAGACCCTACAGGTACCCCCATTATCAAAAGAATGAAATAGAAAAACTGGTGCATGAAATGTTGACTACTGGTATTATTACTTTTACTAGACCTAGTACTAGCCCATACAACAATCCAGTAATCATGGTTAGAAAAAAAGGAGGCTTTGAATAAGAACTACTTGATGAACTGGGGAAAGGCTAAGATTTTTTCGAACTTGACTTAAAGTCTGGGTATCACCAAATCAGGATGAAGGAAGCTAACATCCCTAAGACAGCTATAAGGACACATGAAGGGCATTATGAGTATGTAGTAATTCCCTTTGGCTTGACTAATGCACCCTCTATCTTTCAAGCATTGATGAATCAGATCTTGAGACCCTATCTGAGGAAATTTGTACTGGTATTTTTCAATGATATACTGGTTTACAGTAGAAATTTGGAAGAGCACAAGGAGCATGTAAGGGCACTACTTCAGACTCTTCAAGAGAATCAACTAGTAATCCACAAGAAGAAATGCAAGTTTGGGCAGAATCAGGTGGAGTACCTAGGTCATATTATATCAGGCCAGGGAGTGTCTGGTGATCCTAGCAAGGTACAAGATATGATGGATTGGTCGGTCCCCACCAATATGAAAGGGTTGCGGGGGTTCTTAAGTTTGACAGGGTACTATAGAAGGTTTGTGAAGGGGTATAACAGGATCGCCAAACCTCTCACTGAGTTGCTGAAGAAAGAGGAGTTCAGATGGTGCACTGAGGCCACAAAGGCTTTTGAAGAATTAAAATACACCATGACCTCACTGCCTTGGAGCGGTGTTAATGCAAGGGGGCAGACCAGTGGCATACATGAGTGAAGTACTTTCGGCTCGAAAGCAAAACAAATCAGTATATGAGAGGGATTTGATGGCCATCGTGGTAGCTGTGCAAAAATGGAGACCATACTTGATGAGCAGGTGTTTTGAGGTTCATACAGATAAAAAAAAGCCTCAGATTTTTGACAGAGCAAAGAGTGATGGGGAAGGAGCCACATAAATGGATTACTAAGCTCTTAGGCTACAATTTCATTATTAAATACCAGCCGGGATTGGAGAATAAAGCTGCTGATGCCTTATTGAGAAAAGGAAGCTACCAATCTCTTTCAGTGGTCACTTGCCAGGCTTGGGAGGGGTTAGAAGAAGAATTGCTAAAAGATCCAAAGTGTAACAAAATAATTCCGGATCTGATAGTACAGCCTGCACCTCATCCAGGATTCTTGTTGAGGAAAGGGCTGTTATATTATAAAGGGAGACTCATGCTACCCAAAGGATCTCCCAGAATTCCTGGAATGATGCAGGAATTCCATGACTCCACCATTGGGGGACCTTCTGATAGGAGCACGGGTAAAGAGACTGAAGACATGAGTGTTATTCAATTTTATGAAAAAGTGTACCAAAAGAGAAGGAGGGATGCATCAGTCAAATAACTAACTGAGAGAGTTAGTTAGATAGGCAGGTACATTCCGTTGGAGGAGGGAAAAGTGATTGTAAATAAATAGTAGTTGGGAAGAAGAGGAGGGAGGCTGGTTTCACAGTTAGACTCTGGTCTTGGAGAGCCCTGGCACTCTCGAAATTGCCCAGACTTTTTCCTTGTAAACTCTTTCTGTGAATATTGAATAAAGCTCAGTTTCCTTGATTTCTTGTTGATAAGAATTCTGTAGATTTTGGTTCTCTAACATTGGTATCAGAGCACGTCGATCGCTGTGTGAGACCTGCGTACCGAGAGAAGATGGAAAATCGAATGGAGGATTTGGAAAGAAACTTCCTCGCGATGCGGGAAGAGCTTCGCATGGTGACGGAAACACTGTTGAAGAAGAATCGTGATGAAACCAGAGGAAGATCGCGTACTTCTCATCACAGACGGACGAGTGAATCGGAAAGTTCAACAGCATCGGAAGGTCATTCCGACCATTCTCGCTCGAGTTTCAGTCGCGATCACAGTAGGAGGCCGGTTCGAGCTGGACGAAAGGTGGATCTACCGTTGTTTAACGGAAATGGGGCGTACAACTAGATTGTACGAACGGAAAGGTATTTCCGATTGAATCAGACTGCGGAAGAAGACAAGGTGGAGGTTGCTGTGGTCGCCATGGAGGAATGAGCCCTAAATTGGTTCCAGTGGTGGGAACGCCAGACGATGGAGGATAACTGGGAAGCGTTGAAAGAATCTTTAATTCGTTGCTTCCAACCAGAGTTAGTTCAAAATCCATATGGTCCAATGCTGAGCTTGAAACAGACTGGTACTGTAAAGGAGTACAGAGACCAGTTTGAAATGGTGATTGCGCCTCAGAAAAGAATTGTTGAAGGGATACTGAGGGGAATATTTATTAATGGTTTGAAGGAAGAAATCAAGGGGGATCTCAATCTCTACAATTCCAGATCTCTATCTGAGATAATGGACAGAGCTTTACTAATTGAGGAAAGGAATAATGCTTTATCGAACTGGGAGAAATAAGGATGATGAAAGAAGAATCTGGAGGGAAAAAGGAGGTGACATTCCTAAGTTCTTGAAAGGAGGAGATACAAGTCCGTGGAAGAACAGTAGTTGCATTACCAACTTGTACTGATAATAAACAGACTGAAAATTCATGAAGTGAAAAGAATATAAGGCCTGGATTATCACAAGTATTTCAGGAGATAAGCAGGAAGGGGTTATGCTTTAAGTGTGGTGAAATAATTTCTATGGCATTCAAAACTGATTGAGCTTATCACCATACAACCTGCAAATGAGAGTTGTTTAATTTTCCAATCATCACTATAAGAGTTTGTTAAACTATTTAACAGCAGGGAACTGCAATTACAAAATGATACACATTTGAGGGAACACATGTACAACACTAAAAGACAGACTACATTTCAATATCCAAAATAGATGATGCTCTTAAAGTGTTATTTCCTCTATATATGTAAACCCATCAATTCATAGAAGTAGCCATTCCATAAAGGATATACTCTGCAGGTACTTAGACTGGATGCTATGGATAAAAACCGACATTGGAAGATTATGGGGTGTAGTGCATACACTGGAGAAGGGCTTCTGGAGGGTTTTGATTGGCTGGTGCAGGATGTTGCCTCTCGCATCTATATGCTTGACTAAGTACTATCGTGCCAATTTCTCTATGATATGATGTGAGTAGAATTTGGTTCAATTTGCTGGTAGCTTCCATCTATCTATATGTAGCAACTGGGTTACTTGATTAATGGCATTTTCTTGTGCACTCTCTTGTTCACACATTTGATACAAGTGGGTATGTATTACTTGTGCTGTACTTGTAGGATACAAGATGTTTTCATCAATCTTCAGCACTTTTTTATTGTTCATTTTTTAGTATGGGAATTTGACCCGTATACTATGTTTAATTGACCGGACCGGGTGAGTCTGCTTGGAAATTGGTGAACCAGCCACTTACCCAATTCAGTTACATACTGACCCGCAAATGTAATGAAAACTGGAAAAACTTGAGTCACTTGACTGCTCACTTTGACTTAACTTTATATATATCTATCTGATAAGTTTTTTGAATATCCATCTGATAAGTTAAAATGAAAAAAAAACTGTTTGTACTCACCCTTATACCCACTTTTATACCCTCCATGTTGTGCAAAGCTTTTTTTTTTGTCTGTGAATCCTGTTTATAGACAAATTATGTCTGTACGAATAAGACATACTTCGTATTTTGTTTGTGAACTAAATTCACAGACAAAAAAATCCTTCACAAACATGGTGGATATAAGGTGGGTATAAAGGTGGATACAACAAGAATGATTGGTTAAAATGACATTAATACAAATAAGTATTAATGAATACATAATAAATATAATAATAAATATAATAATAATAATAACAACGACCACGACGACAACGACAATAATAATAGCATTAGTTGCACACTTTATCTTGAGCTTCATTAGATGGATGTAAAAATGACATTTCTCAATGATGACATTGAGGAATCAATCTGTATGGAGCAACCGAAAAATTTTGTTTCTTGAGATAAAAAGAAAATGGTTTGTAAATTACAGAAATCCATTTATAGACTCAAATAGGCTTCCCATAAGTAGAATCACAACTTTCATAATGTCATTATTTCTTTTGGTTTTCAAAAATATGTCAGTAATGATTGTATATACCATAAGTTTAGTGGGAGTAAACATATTTTTTTTGGATTTATATGTTGATGACATTTTGCCAGCTAGCAATGATATATGATTATTGCATGGTTAAGTGATTTCTTTCAAATAAATATGAAATGAAAGATCTTGGTGAGACTTCTTGCTCGGTTGCTCCTAAGGTGATCTTGGACACTCACAAAAGAGTTATATCGATAAGTAGGGCTGGGCAAAATGGTTTTGTTTAACCGAACCAAACCAAATCGAAAATTGGTACTTTGGTTTGGTTTAGGTTTACTTAAGCAAACCGTTTGATAACAATTTGCTCAAACTGAATGGTTTGGTTTGGTTTGGTTTGATTTTAAATCAAAAAACCGTAAATCGAACTGAACACCGAACAACTTGTAATATTTATAAAAATACTTTGTATGTCTTACCTCTTTATCTTTAGGATATAAATAAATAATTTAGATATGAAAAATACATGTTTAGCGTATACCATTTTCATTATTACACATTTTATGCATTCATTATGACAAAGTTAGCTAATAAGTCATACTTGTAATTATTATATGTGTACTCCACTTATATGAAGATATGTTTGGTGATACGAATAGCACATTGCATTTATATTAATTTCAATTAAATTATTGTATACTATACATTTCACATGATTCATTTGAATAAAATTGTGGATTTTACAGCATTTTTACCACTGACTCGTTTAATTAACTTTGAATATTTTATGTGATATTATAAATGTTAATCAGTTATAAACTTTTATTTTTTGTGAGAGATGAGTCTTTTTCTAGTTATTGAAAAGATGTTAACTTTCTTTTTTTGGAAAAAGTGAAATGATAAAAAAGGATGGTGAGCTTGCTTCTTCTTCCCGTGTTTGATCTCTTCCATCTCCTTATAGGTGCTAACATGGCATGGTCTTGTTAAGACAAATTAGGTGTTAACTTATACTGTAATGTTCTATTATTTCTTTTTCTATCTTTGATTTATCATCACATTTTATTTAAAAAATAAATACGAGAAGATGAGATAGACTAATATTTTCATTTTATTATAGACTATAGAACTTGATCAAATAAAATAATAAACATTTGAAACCGAATCAAATATAATCAAACTAAATTGGACCTAATAATTTTCATGATGCGTATGGTTGGGTGGTCAAGGTAGAGAGATATTTTAAATTGAATCAAGTACCGGAGGAGGATAAAGTGGAAATAGTGTTGATCGCGATGACGGATAAGGCGTTAAACTGGTATGAGTGGTGGGACGAAAACACCGCTGATCATTCCCGGGAAGATTTCAAGAAGGCCCTATTCCATCGATTTCAACCGGATCTGGTCCAAAATCCTTTTGGCCCAATGCTCAGCATTAAACAGACATGGTCCATTATGGAATACATAATACAGGGAACTGTTTGAGTTGGTGGTAGCACCCCTAAGAAACACTGATCCAGAAATATTAAAAGGGGTGTTTCTGAATGGGCTAAACGAAGAGGTTGTTAGGGTTAGATCTCACACAAGCACGAATCTGAAAGACTAGAAAAAGAACGAGAAGAACGGCACACGGATATAACGTGGTTCAGCCAGTAAGTGTTACTGACCTAATCCACGGAGGCAACTAGGGTTTTCTTTCTTATTGAGATGATGAATGATACAAGTCATAGTTTACAAGTACAGGAGTCAATATATATAGGCAAACAATTAGGTTAAAACTCTTAATAAGGTTCTCAGCCCGACTGCCACTAAAGAAACAGGCCCAACTAAGGCTGCCTGCACATTTAACTAGAGCAGGCTCTGCTCTTTGTTTATTTGGCTCCCAGTTCTGAATGGGCTGAGGCCTACAGCCCAACAATCTCCCACTTGGAGGCTTCGAAACACGATCAACTGCACTCCAATCCTCTGTACTTCTGTAAACTTCATCTGTGTTTAGCTCCTCCTAGTTGCCACCTGCCTTCTCAACATTATTCTTGAAGGCCAGCTGAAGTTACACAGAACTTCAGCTTGTCCAGCGTCACAGATTTAGTGAACATATCTGCTGGATTCTTTGCACCTGAGATGTTCTTCAAGTTTATCGTTCCTCCACTGATCAACTCTCTTACAAAGTGATATCTCATCCCAATGTGCTTTGTTTTCCCATGATAGATTGGATTCTTGGCAAGTTTCACTGCACTCTCATTATCACAGTGTAAGTGTGTAACGAGTAATCTGCTTGCTTTTTGTCTAACTCGTCAAGGAAGTTCCTCAACCAAATCAGCTCTTTACTGGCTTCAGCAACTGCCATGTACTCTGCTTCGGTTGTTGAAAGAGCTACACTTTTCTGAAGTTTGGACATCCAACTAACTGCAGTTCCTCCCACTGTGAAAATGTACCCCGTTGTGCTTTTAAATGTCTCTTTGCATCCACCCAAATCAGCATCAGAATACCCTCTCAAAATCACGTCTTTTCCTCTGAAACATAACCCCATCTTTGTAGTACCCTTCAAATACCTAAGTATCCATTTAACTGCTTCCCAATGTTCCCTCCCCGGTTTTGACATGAAGCGGCTAACAACCCCGACTGCATGAGCAATATCTGGTCTCGTGCACACCATAGCATACATGAGGCTACCAACTGCAGATGCAAAAGGAGCTTTAGCCATTTCTGCTTTATCTTCGTCTGTTCTCGGAGACTGGTCTTTGGTAAGCTTGAAGTGACTTCCCAAAGGCGTGTTTCTTGGTTTAGTCTTCTCACCATTCATTTTGAATTTCTCCAACACTTTCCCAATGTACTTTTCCTGGGATAGTGTTAAAGATCCATTCTCCTTGTTTCTGACTATGCTCATCCCTAGAATATGTTTGGTTGGACCCAAATCTTTCATTTCAAATTCGTGAGACATTTGTTTCTTTAACGTGCTGATCTCTTTCATATCTGCACCAGCTATCAACATATCATCTACATAGAGAAGCAGAATGATATATGAACTCTTGAACCTCTTCACATAACAACAATGGTCCATCTAACATCTTCTGTAACCTGTCCTTATCATGAAGTTATCAAAATTCAGATACCATTGCCTCGGTGCTTGTTTTAGACCATATAAGCTCCGTTTTAGTTTGCAGACCAGATTTTCTTTTCCAACAACCTGATATCCTTCTGACTGTGCAATGTATATATTCTTATCAAGATCGCCATGTAGAAATGCTGTTTTAACATCTAGCTGCTCTAGATGTAAGCCCTCTGCAGCTACAATACTTGGAACCAATCTGATGGTGGTCATTCTAACCACTGGAGAAAAAATCTCATTATAATCCACTCCCTTTTTCTTCTGGAAACCTTTGACCACTAAACTGGCTTTGTACCGTTTTGACCCATCAGGTTCATCCTTGATTCTGAATACCCATTTATTTTGAAGTGCCTTCTTACCTGGCGGAAGCTTAGTAAGAACCCATGTCTTATTCTTGTGTAAGGCATCCATTTCTTCTTTCATAGCCTGCTCCCACTGAAACGAATCATGTTGCTTTATTGCTTCGAAGTAACTTTCTGGTTCTCCATTTTCAGTCAAAAGAAGATAATTGACTGAAGGCCTGAATCTTTCTTGAGGTTTAGTGACTCTAGTGGATCTTTTGACCCACTGTGTTTCAACTGGCTGCGGCTGCACAGGTGAAGGTGCTCCTTCATCCTCTGAATTTTCACTATCAACAGAGTTTTCGTGATCATCCTAAGACTCGTTAGTATCTTCAGACTCTCTGTTTCTGATGACATCATTTTCAAACTCAACCTGCTCTTTCTGAATCTTTGAGTTTTCTGTGCTTCTGTCTTTATAAAGTTCAGCCTCGTTGAATGTAGCATGTTTACTTCTGACTACCTTTCTACTTTCAATGTCCCAAAGTCAATAACCCATGCTGTCTCCCCCGTATCCAATGAAAGTGTATTTCTTGGCTTTAGCATCTAACTTGTCACCATCTTTGATAAGATCATAAGCGCTGCATCCAAATACCTTTAAATGCCCATACTTTACTGCTTCTCCTTTCCACTCTTCCTCTGGTATCTTGAAACCCAATGGTACGGATGGCCCCCGGTTGATAAGATAAGCGGCAGTGTTCACTGCATCAGCCCATAACGTCTTTGGAAGCCCAGCATTAAGTCTCATACTTTCATACTTCTGGCCCTTTCATTCAATGTTCTGTTCATCCTTTCTGCCACCCCGTTCTGTTGAGGAGTGCCTGGAACTGTCTTTATCATCCGGATGCCATGTTCAACACAGTAATCAATGAACTTTGTGCTAATGTATTCACCACCATTGTCCGATTTCAAGCACTTTACCTTCAGATTAGTTTCCAATTCAACAGTAGTTTTCCACTTCTTAAAAATATTGAAAACTTCAAACTTATTTTTTAAAAAGTAGACCCATACCTTGCGTGTTGAGTCATCAATGAAGGCCACATAGTAGCTTTATCCTCCCAGGGAAGAGACTGGTGTTGGCCCAAACACATCCGTGTGAACTAGCTCCAACTTATGAGTTTTCGGTGTCCGACCTGTCTTCACAAAAGAAACCTTCTTTTTCTTGCCAAGTACACAAGGCTCACAGAACTCAGAATCCACCTTTTTCAGATTTGGAAGTTTCCCCTTGCAACGAGCATCTTCATTCCCTTTTCACTCATGTGGCCTAGCCGTTGATGCCACAAACTGGATGCATTCACCCCGCAGGTCACTGCATCCATCTCATCATCAGGAGCTTCAACCATATATAAAGTGTCCCTCTTTTTGCCTCTGGCGATTACAAGATTCCCCTTGACAACTTTCCATTGTCCTTCACCAAAAGTAACATCAAATCCCTGATCATCCAACTGCCCAATAGAAATCAGCATCTTCTTAAGGCTTGGAATGACCCGAACGTCTTTCAATGTCCAAGTGGTGCCCAATGAAGTCTTTAAGCCTATGTCACCCATCCCTGTGATGTCAAGAGAGTCGTTATTAGCCAAACAAACTTTACCAAAATTACCTGTCCGTAGATTCTTCATCGCCTTCGTGCTGAAAGTAGCATGAAATGATGCACCATAATCCATAATCCACGTTTCTGTTGAGTTTTCAACACAACGGATAAGGGCATCATCTGAATCATCAGTGGCTGCATTTACTTCCTTCCTTTCTGAAGATTCAGGGCATTGATTTCTGAAATGCCCAGTTTCTTTGCAGTTCCAGCATTGAATATCTTTTCTCGGTTTTGACTGGCTCCTCTTTCTAGACTTTGATCTGCCTCTGCCATTTCCCTTCTCTTTCTTTCTACCTCTCCCTTCAGTACTTAACAAAGCACTAGAAGATTCTCCAGAACTCCTCCTTCTTATATCCTCTCCTAGGATAATGTCACGAATGCCCTCAAATGTGAGTTTAGAGGTTCCAGTTGAACCGCTAATCGCAGTGACTGTTCCTGACCAACTCATTAACGTGAGTTTAGAGGTTCCAGTTGAACCGCTAATCGCAGTGACTGTTTCTGGTAACGAGGATAACAAGAATAAAGCTTGGACTTCATCTTCAAACCTAATATCAGCAGATAGTAAACGGGATATGATAGTATTAAACTCATTAACGTGTGAGGTAACGGATGCACCTTCTTTCATTCTGGTGTTTACCAGCAGTCTTATCAGAAATACCTTGTTCTTGTTTGATGCCGATGGTTTCTCATACATGTTTGACAAAGCCTTCATCAAACCACATGCAGTAGTCTCCTTCAAGATGTTAAACGCCACACTCTTGGCTAGGGTAAATCTGATAACAGCCAAAGCTTTCCTGTCTAGAGCAGCCCATTCATCATCACTCATCTTTTCTGGTCTTTTCCCTGTCAAGGCTTGATCCAAGTCCTTCTGACACAACAAATCCTCAATTTGCATCTTCCACCATCCAAAATCTTGTCCATCAAACTTCTCGACTTTGGTTTTTCCGTCATCTGCCATTGTCCCAGTCCTTCACAATCTGCCGGCTATATTCTTCTGCGGCAGAGTACTGTTGGCGGCACAAGGAGGCTGAAGACGCAAGGCGGCAGCAGTGGTGGTGGTCGAATATGTGTGGTGGCTAACCTAGCTCTGATACCAGTTGGTAGGGTTAGATCTCACACAAGCACGAATCTGAAAGACTAGAAAAAGAACGAGATGAACGGCACACGAATATAACGTGGTTCAGCCAGGGAGTACCTAGGTCATATTATATCAGGCCAGGGAGTGTCTGGTGATCCTAGCAAGGTACAAGATATGATGGATTGGTCGGTCCCCACCAATATGAAAGGGTTGCGGGGGTTCTTAAGTTTGACAGGGTACTATAGAAGGTTTGTGAAGGGGTATAACAGGATCGCCAAACCTCTCACTGAGTTGCTGAAGAAAGAGGAGTTCAGATGGTGCACTGAGGCCACAAAGGCTTTTGAAGAATTAAAATACACCATGACCTCACTGCCTTGGAGCGGTGTTAATGCAAGGGGGCAGACCAGTGGCATACATGAGTGAAGTACTTTCGGCTCGAAAGCAAAACAAATCAGTATATGAGAGGGATTTGATGGCCATCGTGGTAGCTGTGCAAAAATGGAGACCATACTTGATGAGCAGGTGTTTTGAGGTTCATACAGATAAAAAAAAGCCTCAGATTTTTGACAGAGCAAAGAGTGATGGGGAAGGAGCCACATAAATGGATTACTAAGCTCTTAGGCTACAATTTCATTATTAAATACCAGCCGGGATTGGAGAATAAAGCTGCTGATGCCTTATTGAGAAAAGGAAGCTACCAATCTCTTTCAGTGGTCACTTGCCAGGCTTGGGAGGGGTTAGAAGAAGAATTGCTAAAAGATCCAAAGTGTAACAAAATAATTCCGGATCTGATAGTACAGCCTGCACCTCATCCAGGATTCTTGTTGAGGAAAGGGCTGTTATATTATAAAGGGAGACTCATGCTACCCAAAGGATCTCCCAGAATTCCTGGAATGATGCAGGAATTCCATGACTCCACCATTGGGGGACCTTCTGATAGGAGCACGGGTAAAGAGACTGAAGACATGAGTGTTATTCAATTTTATGAAAAAGTGTACCAAAAGAGAAGGAGGGATGCATCAGTCAAATAACTAACTGAGAGAGTTAGTTAGATAGGCAGGTACATTCCGTTGGAGGAGGGAAAAGTGATTGTAAATAAATAGTAGTTGGGAAGAAGAGGAGGGAGGCTGGTTTCACAGTTAGACTCTGGTCTTGGAGAGCCCTGGCACTCTCGAAATTGCCCAGACTTTTTCCTTGTAAACTCTTTCTGTGAATATTGAATAAAGCTCAGTTTCCTTGATTTCTTGTTGATAAGAATTCTGTAGATTTTGGTTCTCTAACATTGGTATCAGAGCACGTCGATCGCTGTGTGAGACCTGCGTACCGAGAGAAGATGGAAAATCGAATGGAGGATTTGGAAAGAAACTTCCTCGCGATGCGGGAAGAGCTTCGCATGGTGACGGAAACACTGTTGAAGAAGAATCGTGATGAAACCAGAGGAAGATCGCGTACTTCTCATCACAGACGGACGAGTGAATCGGAAAGTTCAACAGCATCGGAAGGTCATTCCGACCATTCTCGCTCGAGTTTCAGTCGCGATCACAGTAGGAGGCCGGTTCGAGCTGGACGAAAGGTGGATCTACCGTTGTTTAACGGAAATGGGGCGTACAACTAGATTGTACGAACGGAAAGGTATTTCCGATTGAATCAGACTGCGGAAGAAGACAAGGTGGAGGTTGCTGTGGTCGCCATGGAGGAATGAGCCCTAAATTGGTTCCAGTGGTGGGAACGCCAGACGATGGAGGATAACTGGGAAGCGTTGAAAGAATCTTTAATTCGTTGCTTCCAACCAGAGTTAGTTCAAAATCCATATGGTCCAATGCTGAGCTTGAAACAGACTGGTACTGTAAAGGAGTACAGAGACCAGTTTGAAATGGTGATTGCGCCTCAGAAAAGAATTGTTGAAGGGATACTGAGGGGAATATTTATTAATGGTTTGAAGGAAGAAATCAAGGGGGATCTCAATCTCTACAATTCCAGATCTCTATCTGAGATAATGGACAGAGCTTTACTAATTGAGGAAAGGAATAATGCTTTATCGAACTGGGAGAAATAAGGATGATGAAAGAAGAATCTGGAGGGAAAAAGGAGGTGACATTCCTAAGTTCTTGAAAGGAGGAGATACAAGTCCGTGGAAGAACAGTAGTTGCATTACCAACTTGTACTGATAATAAACAGACTGAAAATTCATGAAGTGAAAAGAATATAAGGCCTGGATTATCACAAGTATTTCAGGAGATAAGCAGGAAGGGGTTATGCTTTAAGTGTGGTGAAATAATTTCTATGGCATTCAAAACTGATTGAGCTTATCACCATACAACCTGCAAATGAGAGTTGTTTAATTTTCCAATCATCACTATAAGAGTTTGTTAAACTATTTAACAGCAGGGAACTGCAATTACAAAATGATACACATTTGAGGGAACACATGTACAACACTAAAAGACAGACTACATTTCAATATCCAAAATAGATGATGCTCTTAAAGTGTTATTTCCTCTATATATGTAAACCCATCAATTCATAGAAGTAGCCATTCCATAAAGGATATACTCTGCAGGTACTTAGACTGGATGCTATGGATAAAAACCGACATTGGAAGATTATGGGGTGTAGTGCATACACTGGAGAAGGGCTTCTGGAGGGTTTTGATTGGCTGGTGCAGGATGTTGCCTCTCGCATCTATATGCTTGACTAAGTACTATCGTGCCAATTTCTCTATGATATGATGTGAGTAGAATTTGGTTCAATTTGCTGGTAGCTTCCATCTATCTATATGTAGCAACTGGGTTACTTGATTAATGGCATTTTCTTGTGCACTCTCTTGTTCACACATTTGATACAAGTGGGTATGTATTACTTGTGCTGTACTTGTAGGATACAAGATGTTTTCATCAATCTTCAGCACTTTTTTATTGTTCATTTTTTAGTATGGGAATTTGACCCGTATACTATGTTTAATTGACCGGACCGGGTGAGTCTGCTTGGAAATTGGTGAACCAGCCACTTACCCAATTCAGTTACATACTGACCCGCAAATGTAATGAAAACTGGAAAAACTTGAGTCACTTGACTGCTCACTTTGACTTAACTTTATATATATCTATCTGATAAGTTTTTTGAATATCCATCTGATAAGTTAAAATGAAAAAAAAACTGTTTGTACTCACCCTTATACCCACTTTTATACCCTCCATGTTGTGCAAAGCTTTTTTTTTTGTCTGTGAATCCTGTTTATAGACAAATTATGTCTGTACGAATAAGACATACTTCGTATTTTGTTTGTGAACTAAATTCACAGACAAAAAAATCCTTCACAAACATGGTGGATATAAGGTGGGTATAAAGGTGGATACAACAAGAATGATTGGTTAAAATGACATTAATACAAATAAGTATTAATGAATACATAATAAATATAATAATAAATATAATAATAATAATAACAACGACCACGACGACAACGACAATAATAATAGCATTAGTTGCACACTTTATCTTGAGCTTCATTAGATGGATGTAAAAATGACATTTCTCAATGATGACATTGAGGAATCAATCTGTATGGAGCAACCGAAAAATTTTGTTTCTTGAGATAAAAAGAAAATGGTTTGTAAATTACAGAAATCCATTTATAGACTCAAATAGGCTTCCCATAAGTAGAATCACAACTTTCATAATGTCATTATTTCTTTTGGTTTTCAAAAATATGTCAGTAATGATTGTATATACCATAAGTTTAGTGGGAGTAAACATATTTTTTTTGGATTTATATGTTGATGACATTTTGCCAGCTAGCAATGATATATGATTATTGCATGGTTAAGTGATTTCTTTCAAATAAATATGAAATGAAAGATCTTGGTGAGACTTCTTGCTCGGTTGCTCCTAAGGTGATCTTGGACACTCACAAAAGAGTTATATCGATAAGTAGGGCTGGGCAAAATGGTTTTGTTTAACCGAACCAAACCAAATCGAAAATTGGTACTTTGGTTTGGTTTAGGTTTACTTAAGCAAACCGTTTGATAACAATTTGCTCAAACTGAATGGTTTGGTTTGGTTTGGTTTGATTTTAAATCAAAAAACCGTAAATCGAACTGAACACCGAACAACTTGTAATATTTATAAAAATACTTTGTATGTCTTACCTCTTTATCTTTAGGATATAAATAAATAATTTAGATATGAAAAATACATGTTTAGCGTATACCATTTTCATTATTACACATTTTATGCATTCATTATGACAAAGTTAGCTAATAAGTCATACTTGTAATTATTATATGTGTACTCCACTTATATGAAGATATGTTTGGTGATACGAATAGCACATTGCATTTATATTAATTTCAATTAAATTATTGTATACTATACATTTCACATGATTCATTTGAATAAAATTGTGGATTTTACAGCATTTTTACCACTGACTCGTTTAATTAACTTTGAATATTTTATGTGATATTATAAATGTTAATCAGTTATAAACTTTTATTTTTTGTGAGAGATGAGTCTTTTTCTAGTTATTGAAAAGATGTTAACTTTCTTTTTTTGGAAAAAGTGAAATGATAAAAAAGGATGGTGAGCTTGCTTCTTCTTCCCGTGTTTGATCTCTTCCATCTCCTTATAGGTGCTAACATGGCATGGTCTTGTTAAGACAAATTAGGTGTTAACTTATACTGTAATGTTCTATTATTTCTTTTTCTATCTTTGATTTATCATCACATTTTATTTAAAAAATAAATACGAGAAGATGAGATAGACTAATATTTTCATTTTATTATAGACTATAGAACTTGATCAAATAAAATAATAAACATTTGAAACCGAATCAAATATAATCAAACTAAATTGGACCTAATAATTTTCATGATGCGTATGGTTGGGTGGTCAAGGTAGAGAGATATTTTAAATTGAATCAAGTACCGGAGGAGGATAAAGTGGAAATAGTGTTGATCGCGATGACGGATAAGGCGTTAAACTGGTATGAGTGGTGGGACGAAAACACCGCTGATCATTCCTGGGAAGATTTCAAGAAGGCCCTATTCCATCGATTTCAACCGGATCTGGTCCAAAATCCTTTTGGCCCAATGCTCAGCATTAAACAGACATGGTCCATTATGGAATACATAATACAGGGAACTGTTTGAGTTGGTGGTAGCACCCCTAAGAAACACTGATCCAGAAATATTAAAAGGGGTGTTTCTGAATGGGCTAAACGAAGAGGTTGTTAGGGTTAGATCTCACACAAGCACGAATCTGAAAGACTAGAAAAAGAACGAGAAGAACGGCACACGGATATAACGTGGTTCAGCCAGTAAGTGTTACTGACCTAATCCACGGAGGCAACTAGGGTTTTCTTTCTTATTGAGATGATGAATGATACAAGTCATAGTTTACAAGTACAGGAGTCAATATATATAGGCAAACAATTAGGTTAAAACTCTTAATAAGGTTCTCAGCCCGACTGCCACTAAAGAAACAGGCCCAACTAAGGCTGCCTGCACATTTAACTAGAGCAGGCTCTGCTCTTTGTTTATTTGGCTCCCAGTTCTGAATGGGCTGAGGCCTACAGCCCAACAATCTCCCACTTGGAGGCTTCGAAACACGATCAACTGCACTCCAATCCTCTGTACTTCTGTAAACTTCATCTGTGTTTAGCTCCTCCTAGTTGCCACCTGCCTTCTCAACATTATTCTTGAAGGCCAGCTGAAGTTACACAGAACTTCAGCTTGTCCAGCGTCACAGATTTAGTGAACATATCTGCTGGATTCTTTGCACCTGAGATGTTCTTCAAGTTTATCGTTCCTCCACTGATCAACTCTCTTACAAAGTGATATCTCATCCCAATGTGCTTTGTTTTCCCATGATAGATTGGATTCTTGGCAAGTTTCACTGCACTCTCATTATCACAGTGTAAGTGTGTAACGAGTAATCTGCTTGCTTTTTGTCTAACTCGTCAAGGAAGTTCCTCAACCAAATCAGCTCTTTACTGGCTTCAGCAACTGCCATGTACTCTGCTTCGGTTGTTGAAAGAGCTACACTTTTCTGAAGTTTGGACATCCAACTAACTGCAGTTCCTCCCACTGTGAAAATGTACCCCGTTGTGCTTTTAAATGTCTCTTTGCATCCACCCAAATCAGCATCAGAATACCCTCTCAAAATCACGTCTTTTCCTCTGAAACATAACCCCATCTTTGTAGTACCCTTCAAATACCTAAGTATCCATTTAACTGCTTCCCAATGTTCCCTCCCCGGTTTTGACATGAAGCGGCTAACAACCCCGACTGCATGAGCAATATCTGGTCTCGTGCACACCATAGCATACATGAGGCTACCAACTGCAGATGCAAAAGGAGCTTTAGCCATTTCTGCTTTATCTTCGTCTGTTCTCGGAGACTGGTCTTTGGTAAGCTTGAAGTGACTTCCCAAAGGCGTGTTTCTTGGTTTAGTCTTCTCACCATTCATTTTGAATTTCTCCAACACTTTCCCAATGTACTTTTCCTGGGATAGTGTTAAAGATCCATTCTCCTTGTTTCTGACTATGCTCATCCCTAGAATATGTTTGGTTGGACCCAAATCTTTCATTTCAAATTCGTGAGACATTTGTTTCTTTAACGTGCTGATCTCTTTCATATCTGCACCAGCTATCAACATATCATCTACATAGAGAAGCAGAATGATATATGAACTCTTGAACCTCTTCACATAACAACAATGGTCCATCTAACATCTTCTGTAACCTGTCCTTATCATGAAGTTATCAAAATTCAGATACCATTGCCTCGGTGCTTGTTTTAGACCATATAAGCTCCGTTTTAGTTTGCAGACCAGATTTTCTTTTCCAACAACCTGATATCCTTCTGACTGTGCAATGTATATATTCTTATCAAGATCGCCATGTAGAAATGCTGTTTTAACATCTAGCTGCTCTAGATGTAAGCCCTCTGCAGCTACAATACTTGGAACCAATCTGATGGTGGTCATTCTAACCACTGGAGAAAAAATCTCATTATAATCCACTCCCTTTTTCTTCTGGAAACCTTTGACCACTAAACTGGCTTTGTACCGTTTTGACCCATCAGGTTCATCCTTGATTCTGAATACCCATTTATTTTGAAGTGCCTTCTTACCTGGCGGAAGCTTAGTAAGAACCCATGTCTTATTCTTGTGTAAGGCATCCATTTCTTCTTTCATAGCCTGCTCCCACTGAAACGAATCATGTTGCTTTATTGCTTCGAAGTAACTTTCTGGTTCTCCATTTTCAGTCAAAAGAAGATAATTGACTGAAGGCCTGAATCTTTCTTGAGGTTTAGTGACTCTAGTGGATCTTTTGACCCACTGTGTTTCAACTGGCTGCGGCTGCACAGGTGAAGGTGCTCCTTCATCCTCTGAATTTTCACTATCAACAGAGTTTTCGTGATCATCCTAAGACTCGTTAGTATCTTCAGACTCTCTGTTTCTGATGACATCATTTTCAAACTCAACCTGCTCTTTCTGAATCTTTGAGTTTTCTGTGCTTCTGTCTTTATAAAGTTCAGCCTCGTTGAATGTAGCATGTTTACTTCTGACTACCTTTCTACTTTCAATGTCCCAAAGTCAATAACCCATGCTGTCTCCCCCGTATCCAATGAAAGTGTATTTCTTGGCTTTAGCATCTAACTTGTCACCATCTTTGATAAGATCATAAGCGCTGCATCCAAATACCTTTAAATGCCCATACTTTACTGCTTCTCCTTTCCACTCTTCCTCTGGTATCTTGAAACCCAATGGTACGGATGGCCCCCGGTTGATAAGATAAGCGGCAGTGTTCACTGCATCAGCCCATAACGTCTTTGGAAGCCCAGCATTAAGTCTCATACTTTCATACTTCTGGCCCTTTCATTCAATGTTCTGTTCATCCTTTCTGCCACCCCGTTCTGTTGAGGAGTGCCTGGAACTGTCTTTATCATCCGGATGCCATGTTCAACACAGTAATCAATGAACTTTGTGCTAATGTATTCACCACCATTGTCCGATTTCAAGCACTTTACCTTCAGATTAGTTTCCAATTCAACAGTAGTTTTCCACTTCTTAAAAATATTGAAAACTTCAAACTTATTTTTTAAAAAGTAGACCCATACCTTGCGTGTTGAGTCATCAATGAAGGCCACATAGTAGCTTTATCCTCCCAGGGAAGAGACTGGTGTTGGCCCAAACACATCCGTGTGAACTAGCTCCAACTTATGAGTTTTCGGTGTCCGACCTGTCTTCACAAAAGAAACCTTCTTTTTCTTGCCAAGTACACAAGGCTCACAGAACTCAGAATCCACCTTTTTCAGATTTGGAAGTTTCCCCTTGCAACGAGCATCTTCATTCCCTTTTCACTCATGTGGCCTAGCCGTTGATGCCACAAACTGGATGCATTCACCCCGCAGGTCACTGCATCCATCTCATCATCAGGAGCTTCAACCATATATAAAGTGTCCCTCTTTTTGCCTCTGGCGATTACAAGATTCCCCTTGACAACTTTCCATTGTCCTTCACCAAAAGTAACATCAAATCCCTGATCATCCAACTGCCCAATAGAAATCAGCATCTTCTTAAGGCTTGGAATGACCCGAACGTCTTTCAATGTCCAAGTGGTGCCCAATGAAGTCTTTAAGCCTATGTCACCCATCCCTGTGATGTCAAGAGAGTCGTTATTAGCCAAACAAACTTTACCAAAATTACCTGTCCGTAGATTCTTCATCGCCTTCGTGCTGAAAGTAGCATGAAATGATGCACCATAATCCATAATCCACGTTTCTGTTGAGTTTTCAACACAACGGATAAGGGCATCATCTGAATCATCAGTGGCTGCATTTACTTCCTTCCTTTCTGAAGATTCAGGGCATTGATTTCTGAAATGCCCAGTTTCTTTGCAGTTCCAGCATTGAATATCTTTTCTCGGTTTTGACTGGCTCCTCTTTCTAGACTTTGATCTGCCTCTGCCATTTCCCTTCTCTTTCTTTCTACCTCTCCCTTCAGTACTTAACAAAGCACTAGAAGATTCTCCAGAACTCCTCCTTCTTATATCCTCTCCTAGGATAATGTCACGAATGCCCTCAAATGTGAGTTTAGAGGTTCCAGTTGAACCGCTAATCGCAGTGACTGTTCCTGACCAACTCATTAACGTGAGTTTAGAGGTTCCAGTTGAACCGCTAATCGCAGTGACTGTTTCTGGTAACGAGGATAACAAGAATAAAGCTTGGACTTCATCTTCAAACCTAATATCAGCAGATAGTAAACGGGATATGATAGTATTAAACTCATTAACGTGTGAGGTAACGGATGCACCTTCTTTCATTCTGGTGTTTACCAGCAGTCTTATCAGAAATACCTTGTTCTTGTTTGATGCCGATGGTTTCTCATACATGTTTGACAAAGCCTTCATCAAACCACATGCAGTAGTCTCCTTCAAGATGTTAAACGCCACACTCTTGGCTAGGGTAAATCTGATAACAGCCAAAGCTTTCCTGTCTAGAGCAGCCCATTCATCATCACTCATCTTTTCTGGTCTTTTCCCTGTCAAGGCTTGATCCAAGTCCTTCTGACACAACAAATCCTCAATTTGCATCTTCCACCATCCAAAATCTTGTCCATCAAACTTCTCGACTTTGGTTTTTCCGTCATCTGCCATTGTCCCAGTCCTTCACAATCTGCCGGCTATATTCTTCTGCGGCAGAGTACTGTTGGCGGCACAAGGAGGCTGAAGACGCAAGGCGGCAGCAGTGGTGGTGGTCGAATATGTGTGGTGGCTAACCTAGCTCTGATACCAGTTGGTAGGGTTAGATCTCACACAAGCACGAATCTGAAAGACTAGAAAAAGAACGAGATGAACGGCACACGAATATAACGTGGTTCAGCCAGTAAGTGTTACTGACCTAATCCATGGAGGCAACTAGGGTTTTCTTTCTTATTGAGATGATGAATGATACAAGTCATAGTTTACAAGTACAGGAGTCAATATATATAGGCAAACAATTAGGGTAAAACTCTTAATAAGGTTCTGGGCCTGACTGCCACTAAAGAAACAGGCCCAACTAAGGGCTGCCTGCACATTTAACTAGAGCAGGCTCTGCTCTTTGTTAATTTGGCTCCCAGATCTGAATGGGCCGAAGCCTACAGCCCAACAGAGGTCCAGGCAGAATTGAAGCTCTATCGGTCTGGTGGTTTAACGGAAATCATGGATAAGGCCCTCCTACTCGGGAAAAAAATGTGGCGTTACAGAGAGGTAAGAGCAGAGAGAAGTGGAACAAAGAGTGTAACACCCCGGCCTCGCAGGACCCGAGGTAGCTACTCTAGACCAATAGTAGTGTCCTCACAAACCACCACGAGCCTTTACCGCGCACTTTGTCCTCACTCATGCGCGCCCTGAGAAACTTCCCAGGGGGTCACCCATCCCAAGACTACTCTCGTGCAAGCACGCTTAACTTTGGAGTTCTTGGGTGATGAGCTCCCTTAAAAGGAGATACACCTCTGTTGGTATGAGTAGTACTATTAATCCTCTTAAATTAACCTCGGGTATTACAATCACCCCCACTTAGGATCGCAACGTCCTCGTTGCGCCCTTAAACCAATCTCAAACAACCCCCAGAATCTTGCCCCGCTAAGTGACCGCCCGATATCCAACGGGTCAGCACACTGTCGCAGGGTTGCTCTGATACCATTTGTAACACCCCGGCCTCACAGGACCCGAGGTAGCTACTCTAGACCAATAGTACTGTCCTCACAAACCACCACGAGCCTTTACCGCGCACTTTGTCCTCACTCATGCGCGCCCTGAGAAACTTCCCAGGGGGTCACCCATCCCAAGACTACTCTCGTGCAAGCACGCTTAACTTTGGAGTTCTTGGGTGATGAGCTCCCTTAAAAGGAGATACACCTCTGTTGGTATGAGTAGTACTATTAATCCTCTTAAATTAACCTCGGGTATTACAAAGAGCTTGTGGACAAACGGGGGTGGAAGGACAAGGGGATCCAACCCTCCAAATTCCAGTACAAGGGAGGTTACTGCAAAGTAAGCCCCTAATGTTAGAGAAGGGAGTATCAGACTACAGAACAGAAGGGTCCTCAGGAATGAATAAACCATGGAAAGAAGGACCCAGGTTATCTCTAACTGAATTCCAGTAGAGATCTAGACGTGGGCTGTGTATCAAATGCGGGGAGAAGTGGAACAAAGAGCTTGTGTGTAAGTTAAAAAACTACAAGCTCAGGTTGGTGGAACAGTCTGATGAATCAGAAACAGAGGAAGACCCAAGTCTGGAAACTGAAGAAGTCGAGGCCAATGAAGAAGCATCAACTATACACTTGTCAATCCTGAGCAAAGAAGGAATGCGTACACAAAATACGTTCAAGATTAAAGGCCAGCTAAAAGGAGCAAAGGGGAACATAACTGTGTTAGTCCTCATTGACTCCGGAGCCACCAATAATTTCATTTCTCAAACATTAGTACAAGAACTGGGTTTGGAGTATAATTCCAATACCCTGTTCCATGTGGAATTGGGGAATGGGGAACAGATAGCCAATGCAGGAAAATGTGAACAACTTCCAATCTAGATTCAAGGCACATAAATCGAGCAGGATTTCTATTTGCTGGAACTTGGGGGAACAGATTTGGTACTTTGCGTAGAATGGTTGGCAAGCCTGGGAGAGATAAGGGTGAATTTCAGTGATCTATTCATCAGTTGGAGAGAAGCTGGACAGGAGAAGAGTATAAAAGGGGGTGTGGAATTGAACCAAACAAGAGTCTCTTTCAAAACAATCAAGAAATCTTTACAGGACCAGGAGGAGGTGTACTACATTTATTGCAGGAAGTTAGAAAAGGTAAATGATGGAGAAGAAATTGGGAAGGAGTGGGAGGACTTGTTAGCAGAATTTCCCAAAGTCTATATGACACCCACAAGTTAACCTCCCAGTAGAGCCTGTGACCATGCTATCAACATCCAGGAAGGTGCCCCCATTCCGAATGCAAGACCCTACAGGTACCCCCATTATCAAAAGAATGAAATAGAAAAACTGGTGCATGAAATGTTGACTACTGGTATTATTACTTTTACTAGACCTAGTACTAGCCCATACAACAATCCAGTAATCATGGTTAGAAAAAAAGGAGGCTGGAGGATATGTGGGGATTACAGGGCTTTGAATAAGATCACTGTACCTGATAAATTCCCAATTCCAGTGATTGAAGAACTACTTGATGAACTGGGGAAAGGCTAAGATTTTTTCGAACTTGACTTAAAGTCTGGGTATCACCAAATCAGGATGAAGGAAGCTAACATCCCTAAGACAGCTATAAGGACACATGAAGGGCATTATGAGTATGTAGTAATTCCCTTTGGCTTGACTAATGCACCCTCTATCTTTCAAGCATTGATGAATCAGATCTTGAGACCCTATCTGAGGAAATTTGTACTGGTATTTTTCAATGATATACTGGTTTACAGTAGAAATTTGGAAGAGCACAAGGAGCATGTAAGGGCACTACTTCAGACTCTTCAAGAGAATCAACTAGTAATCCACAAGAAGAAATGCAAGTTTGGGCAGAATCAGGTGGAGTACCTAGGTCATATTATATCAGGCCAGGGAGTGTCTGGTGATCCTAGCAAGGTACAAGATATGATGGATTGGTCGGTCCCCACCAATATGAAAGGGTTGCGGGGGTTCTTAAGTTTGACAGGGTACTATAGAAGGTTTGTGAAGGGGTATAACAGGATCGCCAAACCTCTCACTGAGTTGCTGAAGAAAGAGGAGTTCAGATGGTGCACTGAGGCCACAAAGGCTTTTGAAGAATTAAAATACACCATGACCTCACTGCCTTGGAGCGGTGTTAATGCAAGGGGGCAGACCAGTGGCATACATGAGTGAAGTACTTTCGGCTCGAAAGCAAAACAAATCAGTATATGAGAGGGATTTGATGGCCATCGTGGTAGCTGTGCAAAAATGGAGACCATACTTGATGAGCAGGTGTTTTGAGGTTCATACAGATAAAAAAAAGCCTCAGATTTTTGACAGAGCAAAGAGTGATGGGGAAGGAGCCACATAAATGGATTACTAAGCTCTTAGGCTACAATTTCATTATTAAATACCAGCCGGGATTGGAGAATAAAGCTGCTGATGCCTTATTGAGAAAAGGAAGCTACCAATCTCTTTCAGTGGTCACTTGCCAGGCTTGGGAGGGGTTAGAAGAAGAATTGCTAAAAGATCCAAAGTGTAACAAAATAATTCCGGATCTGATAGTACAGCCTGCACCTCATCCAGGATTCTTGTTGAGGAAAGGGCTGTTATATTATAAAGGGAGACTCATGCTACCCAAAGGATCTCCCAGAATTCCTGGAATGATGCAGGAATTCCATGACTCCACCATTGGGGGACCTTCTGATAGGAGCACGGGTAAAGAGACTGAAGACATGAGTGTTATTCAATTTTATGAAAAAGTGTACCAAAAGAGAAGGAGGGATGCATCAGTCAAATAACTAACTGAGAGAGTTAGTTAGATAGGCAGGTACATTCCGTTGGAGGAGGGAAAAGTGATTGTAAATAAATAGTAGTTGGGAAGAAGAGGAGGGAGGCTGGTTTCACAGTTAGACTCTGGTCTTGGAGAGCCCTGGCACTCTCGAAATTGCCCAGACTTTTTCCTTGTAAACTCTTTCTGTGAATATTGAATAAAGCTCAGTTTCCTTGATTTCTTGTTGATAAGAATTCTGTAGATTTTGGTTCTCTAACATTGGTATCAGAGCACGTCGATCGCTGTGTGAGACCTGCGTACCGAGAGAAGATGGAAAATCGAATGGAGGATTTGGAAAGAAACTTCCTCGCGATGCGGGAAGAGCTTCGCATGGTGACGGAAACACTGTTGAAGAAGAATCGTGATGAAACCAGAGGAAGATCGCGTACTTCTCATCACAGACGGACGAGTGAATCGGAAAGTTCAACAGCATCGGAAGGTCATTCCGACCATTCTCGCTCGAGTTTCAGTCGCGATCACAGTAGGAGGCCGGTTCGAGCTGGACGAAAGGTGGATCTACCGTTGTTTAACGGAAATGGGGCGTACAACTAGATTGTACGAACGGAAAGGTATTTCCGATTGAATCAGACTGCGGAAGAAGACAAGGTGGAGGTTGCTGTGGTCGCCATGGAGGAATGAGCCCTAAATTGGTTCCAGTGGTGGGAACGCCAGACGATGGAGGATAACTGGGAAGCGTTGAAAGAATCTTTAATTCGTTGCTTCCAACCAGAGTTAGTTCAAAATCCATATGGTCCAATGCTGAGCTTGAAACAGACTGGTACTGTAAAGGAGTACAGAGACCAGTTTGAAATGGTGATTGCGCCTCAGAAAAGAATTGTTGAAGGGATACTGAGGGGAATATTTATTAATGGTTTGAAGGAAGAAATCAAGGGGGATCTCAATCTCTACAATTCCAGATCTCTATCTGAGATAATGGACAGAGCTTTACTAATTGAGGAAAGGAATAATGCTTTATCGAACTGGGAGAAATAAGGATGATGAAAGAAGAATCTGGAGGGAAAAAGGAGGTGACATTCCTAAGTTCTTGAAAGGAGGAGATACAAGTCCGTGGAAGAACAGTAGTTGCATTACCAACTTGTACTGATAATAAACAGACTGAAAATTCATGAAGTGAAAAGAATATAAGGCCTGGATTATCACAAGTATTTCAGGAGATAAGCAGGAAGGGGTTATGCTTTAAGTGTGGTGAAATAATTTCTATGGCATTCAAAACTGATTGAGCTTATCACCATACAACCTGCAAATGAGAGTTGTTTAATTTTCCAATCATCACTATAAGAGTTTGTTAAACTATTTAACAGCAGGGAACTGCAATTACAAAATGACAGCTTCAATGCATCCTTGAGGGGTACAACTTCAAAAATAACACTTGGTGTCTATTTTTGCACATGCCCCCGGTACTTGGTACCGAGGGGTCTTTCGTTAAAAACACTTGGTGTTTTCTTCATTGTCGTAGTTGATTGGAGTGTCTACCCTCGGCACTTGGTGCCGAAGGGTCTTGCTTTTAATAAGGCCTTGGGCTAGGTGCTTCTATGAGGGCTTGGTCGCTCACAAGTGTTTTGTTCTTTGTGCTTGGTGTCTCCAACATGTCTTTATTCTCGAAAAGTTGTGGGGCCTTGGGCCTTCGGGTAATACATTTGTGAGTTATGAGGGCTTGGCCGCTCTAATGTTACTGATAAAATTTCACCAGGTGATGTACATTCCAATGTCTAGGGACCTCGGTCCCATTGGGGCGTTTCAGTTTGTAAGTTCCCGGTTTGATGATAGCTGTCACAATGTAGGGGCCCTCAAATTTTGGTGCCATCTTGCCGCCTTCGGTTGGTTGGCTAGCTTTCTGCCTCCGGAGGACATAGTCCCCCATTTGGAATTCTCAAGAGCGGACCTTGGCATCGATGTAACCCTTTACTTGCCTTCGGTAGTTTTCCGCTCGCATGAAGGCTTGCTCTCGGCGTTCTGAAATGAGATGAAGGTCAATGGCCATGTTGGCGTCGTTAACTTCTGGATCATATTGGGCCACTCTTCGGGTAGGGTCACTTCCGTGGGGGCTTTAGCTTCAAATCCATAGCATAAGGAGAAGGGTGTTTCCCCTGTTGCCCGCCGAGGGGTAGTGCGGTAGGCCCAAAGGATGTTATGGAGTTCTTCTACCCAGCCTCCCCCTTCGGCCTCCGGCTTCTTTTTTTGGCCCTCGAGTAAAGTTCGGTTGGCGTTCTCCACTTGACCGTTGCCTTGAGGGTAGGCAACGGATGAGAAGGTGTGCTTGATGCCCCATGCCTCTAAGAGGGCACAGCAGGGGGCTGCCTCAAATTGAGTTCTGTTATCGGAGATGATTTGCTAGGGGACACCGAACCTTGTGAGGATGTTCATAAGGACAAAATGACCACACCGGGCCTCGGTAATACTGGCGAGGGGTTCCGCCTCCACCCATTTGGTGAAGTAGTCAATGGCAATGATGATGTACCTGTTGTTGGAGGTACGCCTCGACAGAGGGCCCACAAGGTCTATGCCCCATCTAGCGAAAGGTATGGATGTGCTAATGGGGGCATATTTGACCGCTGACCTACCGGGAGCCTTCTGGAAGTGTTGACAGGCGGTACACCTTCGGGCGAGATCCGCACAATCCCGGGCCATCGTAGGCCAGAAATAACCTTGCACTATGAGCCTTCGGGACATGGAGAAGGGTCCCTGGTGAGCTGAGCAAGTGCCACTGTGCACCTCCTCCATTGCGACTTCAGCTTCATCCTGATGAAGGCATCGGAGTAACGTGCCATTGTAGGATCGTTTATATAGCCTTCCATCCTCGATGGTGTAGCTGGGAGCCCTCAGCTTTGCTAGCTTGGCGCGGGCTTCATCCTCGGGCAGTTGCCCTGTGGTGATGAAGGCGATGATGTCTGAGATCTAGTCCTCTGGCCTTTGTTGTATGTTCATGACAGGGCTGACATGTATGCCGGAGAGGCTGAGTTCCTCAATTTTGGCAATCTTAGATATGTGCTCGAGCGACTTGGCCGAGAGCTTTGATAAAATGTCGGCCTCGGAATTTTGAGCCCTCGGTATTTGAGTGAGAGAATGTGCCTCAAATACCTTAAGCAACTCCTTGGCTGCTTCCTTGTATTGTTTCATCCTTCCTTCCTTGGCCTCATATTCCCCTGAAAATTGATCGACGACAAACTTGGAGTCACACTTTACGTGGATCTGTGTGGCCTTCATGTTTGCCGCCAACCGAAGGCCACAGAGGAGGGCCTCATACTCCGCTTCGTTGTTGGAGACCTTGAAGGAGAAGCGGATGGCGTAATAGGCGCGGAAGCCCTCGGGAGAAATGAGAGCTACCCCTCCCCCACATGCCTTGGCTGCGGAGGAGCCGTCAGTGTAAAGGGTCCACCATTCATCCGAGGGTGCCGAAGGCTCCTCATCTGTAGCTGATCTCGCCGTGCACTCCGTCACGAAGTCCGCCAGGGCTTGGCCCTTAATGGCATGCCTCGGACGGATGTCGATGTTGTATTGGCTCAGGAAGACAACCCATTTTACCATTCGGGAGGAGCTGGTGGGGCTCCTCATCAAAGCGCCGAAGGGTTGGTGCATGAGGA